GTAATTTAGAAAATGACAACTGGTCAAAATAACAAAAAGATGCAGTGTTTTCATATCTCAAATATAGCAAAGAAAACAAGCTCATATTAATTTTTAAACAACACAATACTAATGTTTTAACTTCAGAAATCAATTTTTGGTGGAATAACCCTGATTCTCAATCACAGCTTACATGGATCTTGGCATGCTCTTCACCAGTCTTTCACATTGCTATTGGGTGACTTTATGCCACTTCTGATGCAAAAATTCAGGCAGCTCAGCTTTGTTTGATAGCTTGTGACCATCCATCTTCCTCTTGATCACATTCCAGAGGTTTTCAATGGGGTTAAGGTCTGGAGATTGGGCTGGCCATGGTAGGGTCTTGATTTGGTGGTCCTCCATCCATACATTGATTGACCTGGCTGTGTGGCATGGAGCATTGTCTTGCTGGAAAAAACAATCCTCAGAGTTGTGGAAAATAAGTTTTCTTCCAGGACAACCTTGTACGTGGCTTGATTCATACGCCCTTCACAAAGACGAATGTACCCGATTCCAGCCTTGCTGAAGCACCTCCAGATCATCACCGATCCTCCACCAAATTTCACAGTGGATGTGAGACACCATGGCTTGTAGGCCTCTCCAGGTCTCTGTCTAACCATTAGAAGACCAGGTGTTGGGCAAAGCTGAGAATTGGACTCATCAGAGAAGGTGACATTACTCCAGCCATTTGCCTTTTTTTTTTGAAGGTCAATTGATGTCATCCTACAGTTGTTAAATGACATTCGAATGAGTTGTCGTTCATCTTGGTCAGCGGAGAGTCGTTTTCGCCCTCTGCCGGTCTGTAGCTTTGTTTTCCCCAACGTCTGCAGCTTGTCCTTGTGTGGAAAGAAGCAACCTGATGCTCACTGTATCTCTCTGCCAGTAAAGCCAGAATTGAACCCTTCTTTTCCTCATTCAAAACTTTTCTTTTCAACTCTTTTGGCATGGTCAATAGTTATTATTTGATTCCAATTACTTTTGAGGTACTGCTAGCACTGTTTTTGCCATTGTCATATTCATTACCATGCTAAACTATTCTGTGTAGTCTTTTTAGATTACTATAAGAGAAGAGCATTGAAAAACAAAAAGTGGGATGGCCGAAAACTTAGGAGTTTCCAGCTTAGAAAGCATTTTACTTACCATGCCCAGGTAATCTTACAGTTCTTTGTATAATGTATTCAGATCAAACATTCTTCAAATTCTGTCTTACATGTGTCTATGTAAGTGTCCCAACTGTCAATAGATAAGATCTGATCCAATACATGTGTTTAATACATGTGAATTTGGTAGTAATTGAGAGCGTCTGTGGGACTGGGAGTGCATTGCATTTGTGTGTGTTAAACACAAGCCTTTCTGTGCAGGACTCTAAATTGAGAGCATTTTTGTTCTAAATTGAGATTGTTTGGCTCCAGTTATACATGCAGATTTACCACTGAAACAGCCGAAGGAGTCAAGATTATGACCGGTCTAAACTGCCCCAATTTGTACCACATCCTCTTGAATCTATCTGTATTTATGTTCTACTGTTAGTGTTATCTGTATGCACCAAGGGTCTGAGAGTAACGCAATTTCAATTCTCTGTGTGTATGTGCTGTACATGTGGAAGAATTGACAATAAAGCAGACTTGACTTGACTTGAAATCACATTCAGAAGATCACTCTACAAATGAAAGGCAGTGAGCACAATTTATAGCAATAACATATCTGGATATCATTGATTTTCAATGAGAATGGGGAATTTCTGGCAACCTGTGTTACAGAGATTGTTGGCAATCAACTTTATGCAAATGAGAAGCAACATGTTGTCTTCATTTACATGACAGTGATGCATTTGGCAGATCCTTATATCCAAACTTACAGTGCATGGATTGTATACATTAGTATACACCAGTATGTCCATTCCTTGGGAATCCATGACCTTGGTGTTGTAAATGTCACACTCTAGTTAAGCTACATTCACCCTTTTGAATTTGGGAGGCTTGAAACCTATTTTAAATAAAGATAATTGTTTCACCAAGTTCAGGATTAAATCTGAGGATGATTCTCACAAATCTGTATTTTCTGTGTGCCATTCACAAGGTCTCTGATGTGAATGTTTTCCTATCTCTGGCCAGGTGTGACCCTTGGGTGATGGGATTCCAACCAACCCAAAGGCCTTCTGTGTTTTACAACTTAGAGTTGAAGATTTATTTGTTAGTGGTCTGAGTATTTAAGAGGCAAAATAGTCACTGGGATTCTGTAACCAGAAAACCCCTGCACAGTGCGAGTGAAATATCTGCACCCAGAACACTCTCTTTGCTGTCAGGTATACATCTCTCACTCTTAGATTCTGTTATGTATTTATCATTTCTGAATTGGATTCTCATTATTTTATAATGTAATTGCCATAGTACATTCTTGCCTGACAAATAAATTATTTTGGATTCTCATTAAACATTATGACTAGAAGAGTATGTGGAGGCTGATGTTACCTCAGCTCTATGGCCAGGATAGATACAAACTTAAGGCTCGTGAATGAATGGAGCAGTAGGCATGTCATCAGAGACCTTTTTATTTCTGTCTATCACTGATTTAGCAAGTTGTATGAAAGAGACTAACTAAACTATACTTTTTGTCAAGAGCAAGCAGTAGGCGGCCGACTTATTAGTCAACCTACACCCTCTGACTAAAATCAGACTGGGGAATTTGTGATTGTGAGATGCATGACCCCAGGCATCATGAAACTAAATAATACATAACCAATGTTTGAGATTAGTTCCTAAATAGAAACAATCTAAATTGAATGATCACTTGAAATTGGAGTCAGATTAAACATGGAGCCATAATCGAATTTATACTGAATCCTCATAATTTAGTAAAACTTTACATAGGATTAGATAAAATACCTACACGCATTATACCTTCACCCATGCTGTTGGATTCCATCATTGGGCTAATGAGTGGTCCTTATAATATCAATTTATGTTATTTTATTAGTTTATTTTGTGTGTGAGGTTATTAAACAGCCCTAATATTCATGAAGTCTCCTAAACTGTCAATGGACAGAGAACAAGCAAAGAATAGATTGTATTGATCCCTGGTGGAAAATTAAGATGTTACAGCAGTAAACACACCAAAATTACAGAATAACCCGCTACTCAGTTATTCCTTGCGAGCCAACGATGACTTCAGCACTGGGACAATTTGCGCTCATAAATTTATTAACTGAATTAAATTGGAATCCCCATCTCTATTCCCTCGAATTGCCAATCCCTGGCATGCAAAAATAATTGTATGGGTGATAAACCAAGCAATAAAGCAATTCTTGTGTCGTCTATCTGCTTGTGTTTGCATGAATTTAGAGCATTGGCAATGCTAGCAATAGTAACCACAGCACGGTGTAGATACGATCTTTCTTTCTTGCTCTTGAGAGAAGCCTGTACCTTATTGTTTTTTTTTTTTACCTATCTTTTTGTTCCTCAAGTAAAGATTACTCTTATTTTTAAAAACTCAAGTATCCTGGTTCATTGCTCTTCTGCTCTTGGGTTCAACTGTAGGGGAGTTCAGTGGGAAACATCTGACACTTAGGGCACCAGATACTTGGGTTCGATCCCCACCTAGGCAGCATCATTCTAATGCTTTTGAAAAGCCATCCTTCACAAAGGCTTTATAAGATTCTTGCTTGATTTAGAGCAGAGTTCACAAAATACCTTGCTTTGGGTGGCATCGTATGATATCCAGGGCAAGTGTTTTTTTTTTCAGTTATCTCTATATTTCCTAGAGTTATTTTGCCAACTCGCTTCATTGGTGCTATTGTCATTATTTGACAATGTCAACAAATGGTCATTTTAAGAAGTAGCAACTGAAGTTGTAGTCTTAATTACAAACTGCTCCATTGTTAAAAAAAGGCAAAGATGATCTGATCTTACAACTTACAATAATGGTTAGATAACCATGCACAATGCTTTAAAGAGCGGTCACTCTATTTATGTCAGTCAAACAAGTGGTTTGACAGGTCACAATCTCTCTGATAAATCTGATGATTTTGAATTTAATTACATAAAAATGCAATTTATCATCATGCAAAAAACAGAAAGCACAAACATTTTATGTTGTAAAGCTAAATATAACACTAGAACTGCGTGCATTATAGCTCGCCTGTGTTACAGAGGAGGCTCCCGTACCGCCTCCTCCGCACCACCAGAGGGAACTGTCCCCAGAGTATTAGCAATCTCCCATTCGGACTCCATTTCCCATCATCCCTCTTACCTGGGACTGATTACACAATCACACCTGCATCTCATTTACACACACACATATAAGCCACACCATTTCACAAACTCATTGCGAAGTCTTGATTTGCCCCGGCTGTCATTTCCGAGCGTTATACCCGTGTTTGTTTTCTGTGCTTTGATCTTGGACTGTCTCCTGATTCTCTGATTGTTATCTGCCTGCCCCGATCTCTCGCCTGGTTCACGATTCTGCCTCTGCCTTGTCTCTGCTGTTCTGCCTTGCCGGTATTTGACCCTGTATCGTCTGACCATTCTTAATAAACTGCAAATGGATCCAAACCCTTCTGATGTGTCGCAACAACCTGACTGATGTGAGATTCACTAAACAGAATGGCCCTCGAGTCGCCTATGATGACAACCCTTAGGATAAACTTTTAGCATGTTAATGATGCTAAAGTTTTATGTTTGATCTGGCTGGTCTTGCTACTACTACACAAACATCCTGCAGAAAGCTTATAAAACATTCTGCTATGGCTGCACAAATGGACATATATAAACGTATTTAATCATATTGCCAATCAGTTTTCAACATCTGTATAGTATGTGGCTTTCTATAGACGTTGGTCTTAGTACAGTAGGCTACTGTTGAATAAAGAATCCGTTTGTAAAACTGCTTTTGAGGGGGACAAAATGCATTGTCCTCTTCATTGTTAAGTGCATAAGGGAGGTACTTCACTACTCACTGGTACATTTCAAATATGTCTGGTGTACCTTTTTCTGCAGAATGTTGATCTTCTTCTCCTTGACCTCCAGCATATCCTTCAGGTCACACATCTCACTGTTTAGTGTTCCCTTCTCTTCTATGAGATCCTGGGTCTGTTTGATCTTCTTGTTTAGGAATGACTCTCTCTCATCCAGACATAGACGTAGAGCGTCCACCTAATGACAAACTGTCCGTTAGAGGAAATTCAAACTTAACAATGGTAATCTTCAAAGTGATATATTATTTTTCAATTTATTTTATTTTATTTTATTTTATTATTATTGTTATTATTCTTTTTTCTTTTTTTTTCTTTGAGTAAGGTCTCTTTTTTTTCTGACAGTGCTGTCAGAACAGTCTGTCATTCAGGGCATGGTCTTTTATTTTAATTCATATAATTTATGTTGGTCTTCCTAAAGAAGACTCCTGGTACATATGATTCTCTTTGAGGGCCTGGAAGAACGGACACTCCTTGTCAGATGGCAGGTGTCTGGGTTTAGTTAGTTTTGGTTATAGTGTGTGGGTCTGGATGCTAGTCACTTAGACTCTGGATGATTTCATTACAAAAACCTGACAGAAACAGTGTCATTGCTATGGGAAAAACACACCATCTTGTCTAATCACATTGGTGTAAATTGGCAGATTTTAGTGATTTTAGGTCATAGTAAAATCTATGGCCCTAATAAATGCCCCCAATGTTCTCTGAATGCCCCTGCTGAAAAAGGTTAGTTTAATGACTTTGCCCCTCTGAGTTATGATTCAGAAAGGTCCCAGAAATTTCTGCACACCTGTTTTTCAGGTAAATAATTTAGTGATATAGTACTGTTAAAAACTATTGACTACATCATTTAGGATGGTTATTGTTAATTTTAAAAGACACATATATTCAAGTCCAGTTTATAGGCAGGGCATGCAGGTTACAGCATTTCAGGCTATTAAAAATGCAGTGAGAATGTGAGAACTGAGGGTTAGGTTACTCTTCACCTGAGAGGTACACCATTCAGTTATAGACAGTGTCTATTTGCATAGCCGCTACACTGTGAAATGGAAAAACAAAACACATCAAAAATCTCATTTCTCATATTATGGGATTTTGCCCTCAACTGCATTTTCAGACTCAATGTTCTTTCTTTATCGCAACAGTAATTATTGATGACATGATCTTAACAATGTTTTTTCCTCATTAACAAGAACACTGGCTCCCCCAAAAAATATTTTCACTGTAGTCTATAGAGACCCCCTCAGTCCTGTCAGAATTATAAAATTTTGCATTAACAGTCAAATGCTGGTATTTATGGGAGTGAAAAGTGTGACAGATGCGTGTAAATGTATGTTTTATGGAAATACTTGCCTCTGCCTGAAGGATATTAGCTCTGTGTTCTTTGGCTATGAGAGATTCCTTCAGGACTTCTATGTGCTGTTTGCAGTCCGAGTTTTGATTGCTCAGTGTGTCAAGCTTAGTTTGCAGTGCCATCGACTCAGACTGTTTCTTTACTACTTCCTGTTTCAGCAGATCAATCTGAGACATAGAGACAAATAAACAGACAATTAACAATGAATAACACGTTAACACAATGAGGGGGGAAACATAATATAGAACTAGGAAAACATTTAAAAAACTAATTTAACAGAGAGATGAAACCGTGACATAGCAGAAATTGTGTTCTGCATGTTGCCTTCCTGTCTCATCCTTGATCTCGGCGAATGATATTATTTGGAATTTGTTAGTTTAGATTTGTTTGTTAATTATGACATTTTTATTTCTGAAAGTAATAGAGGTGCATCTCAATAAATTAGAATGTAATGGAAAAGTTCATTTATTAGTGAATTGGTGGGTTTTTGTTAAATGTGAGCCAAAATCATCACAATTAAAAGAACCAAAGACTTAAACTACTTCAGTCTGTGTGCATTGAATTTATGTAATACACGAGTTTCACAATTTGAGTTGAATTACTGAAATAAATGAACTTTTCCACGACATTCTAATTTATTGAGATGCACCTGTATAAACCACATTTTCATGATCAGATTTTTGAGCAATACATTCAATTATTGAACATAGCAGTTTTCTTCTGACACGAATGAACGAACATAATGTGATACTGGTTGGGTTACATCATACCGGCAATAGGTGTAAAGAAGGAGTTCTGTCCAGAAACATGAAGGCAAAACTGCTGTTTAGCCAGTAGTAGGCGACCTGCTCAAATGCTATCTTACTGAACAATTGCAGGTAGCAACTTAACTCAAATATGATGTGCTAGGCAACCCGGCTCAAGCTCTTTCCTAGTGGCACGATGTTTTCTGCCAAATTCTGGCGCTTTTCTCATTGATACTGCAGTGCACGGTGCTACCATCAGCTTTGTGTTTTTGCCAGTTCCAGAAAGTCCACTGCATAAGTTAGTTCACGGTAGAACACGGTAGAATGGGTTGACAACTCTGATGCAAACTGATGAGAGGTATACCAGATTGTCCAAAGGCTTTAAGGGATCTGTTTGGTCTCCTTCAAACAACTTTCCTGTAACTTGTATGTTAAATTGGTTTCAAGAAATTCAGGTTTAGACATATTTTAGACATAGTTGGTGTTGTACATGTCATGGAGCTCATGTAACAATGCTCACTGGCTTTGGTCAACTCAAAGTGGAGTTGTTGTTCTTCCCACTGGCTCAATATGAGTTACCATAGGCTCAATCGATAATCAACATTTGACACACACGCTGTGGTGATCTGCAGAGGGTTCTGGCCACAATTAATGGTGGCATTCACTGATTTCTACTACATACCTAGGACAGGTGATGACGACAAAATGACAGATGTACAGTACAGACGACAGTATGGATGCAGTAGATTCATACACATTCAAACTATATCAAATATACCTCTTTAATCATCGCAAATTAATTACTTGTTCAAAATAAGTAACTGCTGAGAGAGTATATACATTAATGCATTTGGCAGATGCTTTTATCGAAAGTGCTTAGGGCAGTTGTGGCCTAATGATTAGAGAGTCGGACTTGTAACCCAAAGTTCTTGGGTTTGATTCTCAGTTCAGTCAGGAAATGTAGGTGGAGGGAGTGAATCAACAGCACTCTCTTCCACCTTCAATATCCACGACTGAGGTGCCCTTGAGCAAGGCAGCCCCAATTGCTTCCTGGGTACAGCTGCAAAAATGGCTGCCCACTGCTTCAGGTGTGTGTTCACAGTGTGTGTGCCTGTTTAATATATAGTGTGCCTCTGTGTGTGCACTATCTTGGATAGGATAAATGCAGAGGACAAATTCTAAGTATGGGTTACCATACTTGGCCTACACGTCACGTCACTTTTATCCTTGGCGTTGCTAATGCAATGCTCTACTGTTTGAGCTACAGGAATCATTTTTGAAATATGCAATTTTGGATGCAGCCACAGTGTACCGTGAAGAGCACTACATAAGTAAATGTGATTTGTCTTGTTTGCAGAATCGAATCTGAATGAATCTGAGGATATATTTGAAAATCCCCCATTTACTATTTTCTACATTACTCCACTAATATAGTCCACTCAATGAGTAAATGAAAACGAGCAAGCAAATTCAGACACTGAGTGTGCAGAAAGTGCATCATGCAGCATCTTTTAGCTAGATGTGGCAATTAATTCAGTGTGACGCTCGCAGAGGAGTGGGTATTCTCTAGAAGCAAACCGTTCAGCAAGCCATACATCGGTTGTACACTCATTATTGAGGTACATTATGGGAGTGAATGAGTGCACCTGATGATGTCCTGTGTGGTTTCAAACACCACTACACGTGGCTGTTCCTTCAAATAGTGCAATATACTGTATAAGGGTATAGGGGGGATTACAGACACAGCCCATCTTTGTACTGCATATTTGACTTTTTAGGACGTTTAGTGATTCCCTCAGTTTTCTCAGCTCCAAAGCTGCTTGTGCAATACAGGTTGACAAAACTTTCTATCATGCTACAAAAAGATGAGCTACTGAAAAATGTAGTTAAGTTTTTAATGTCACTACTAGTAGTGTTAGATGAAAGTACCTATCTGTCCACCCATCCCTCCATCAGTCTTTCTGTGCAGAGAGTCCATTCTTACCTTGTTCTTCATGAACTTTGAGTGGTTCTTATAGACTTCCATCTGTTTGAAGTCTTCATCCCGGCCATCTGTGTGCAAAAGGCCATTTGTCTTTACCGTTTGGATCTCGTCCTCCAGGCCTCGAATATTCCGCTCCAGTGATGCAATTTTGGTGTCCTGTGTGGGATATGTGATTTACAAAAACGCCAAGTGTGTGATGTTATGGAGCAAGAAGGTCAAAAATATATTTCAAACAAACAATGATTGTTAACCTAATCTATTTATCTATCTGAGTCTGTAAGGCCTTGAATCTTCCAACTTGAAGACTTTATCTATTATCATCATCACACAAAGCCAACATTGAAAGTTTGTCTTGACAAACTTTCCTGAAATTCTGTATTTCCTTAATTTCAAATTGTAGTTCTAGTAAAGCTAGAAAATTCTAAAATTCTAAAATTCAAAACTCAGATTTTCAGATGTACAACAACTAGGCCAAATGTCAGGCTTGCAGGTTCCACAGCAAGTAGTAGATGTTATCTCTATATACGATTATGAACATGTCACAGTATTCAGCTGGTGTGCCTTAGATGGCCACCAGAGGTCACTGTGTCTGTTTGTTGAGCACATGGCTTCCTGTGCTATTGTCTGTCTATTGTCTTACCCCGCCCTTCTTGTTATCTCATTATTGTTTCAGGCCATGTCCACACGTACACGGGTATTTTTATAAACTGAGTTTTTCCTTCTTCCGTTTAAAAAAAAATCTCCGTCCACATGAAAACGCAAACGCAAAATGCAAACGCATGCTATGAAGCACTGTCAAGAGCATGCCAAACCAACAGGTGGCGATATAATCTCAACCGTAAAGCCATGTTGGTCAATCAGAAGCCTGAAAAAGTTTCCAGTATGCGGAGATAACAGCGCAGGCTCCAACATCACAAGCCAAAAACTCTGGTTTCGCTGTCTACACGATAACTGACCTGGTGCTGCATTTGCATGTGGACAAACGGCCTAACCGCGTAGAAAAAGCTGCGGTTTTAAAAATAACCGCATTCGTGTGGACAGGGCCTCAGTTACCTGTGTCTCCCTCATTACTCTCCTCGTTTGTCTCCCTATTTACATTTACATTTAATAGAAACTTTTATCCAAAGCGACTTACAAATGAGGACAATGGAAGCAATCAAAATCAACAAGACTAAAGTCTCAAATCCAAAGAGATATTCTTTATAAAAGTTAAGAGTCAGCCACACCTACCTAAAACGGCTCGTTCTTACACACCCCACATGTCTACGTCACGATGTGGGAAGATTTGAATAAGCCGCCCAAATGTTCACACAAAGAAAGAAGGCGTAACTTTTATTTTTTTTTTAATTTTTTTTTTTATTTTATTGTTTTATTTATTCTCCTTGTGTCTGCATTCCTGTGCTGTTTCATTGTTTATGTCTGAGAGTCATTGTCATACGTGTGTATGTTCCTCTGGCCTTGCCTTGCTGTGCCCTGTCTTGGCCGGCCTGCCCGCCTGCCTGTTTTTCCCCCTCGGGGTAGTTTTTGTTAGTTTTGTTTGGTTTTTACTATTAATAAATGCCCATTCGTTCCTGCATTTGAGTCCTCGCCTCATCTCTCTCCATTTCCCTGACAGAACAATCACAAAGCTACTACAATTCCCTGGCACAGTATAGGTCACAAGATTGAATATGGTTACTTTTTCTACAATTTCTTTTTGATTCTTTTTGTTCCACCATAAAAAAATATCTAATTCAGAGCCATCTATAGTGTTTTAATCAAATCTATAAAATGACACAAAAACTATTCAAAAACAAGTTTTTATAAATGTCACATATAGAATTCAAATTATAAGTTTACTTCTTTATATACACCAATGAACCATTGCATTGCGACCACCCCCAGCCAAAAGCAATGAGCGTGCCTGGCAACCGAATGGTGCAGCAGGTGCAGTTCACAAAGCAGTATATATACCACCTGAGGACCAACTTTCAGTCAGTAGAGTGTTTGATGTCAGAATGAGAAAAGCTGTTGATTTATCGGAGTTTGATAAAGGACAAATTGTGATAGCACAGTGCCTCTGAACTTCAATCTTGGAAATGGCATACCTTGTGGGTTGTACACATGCCGGTGTAGTGAGTACATATCAAAGTGTGCACAGATGGCAAAACGACGAACTGTCGTCCAGCCTTGTGTCGTCTGCAGCTCATTGATGCCAGAGGGGAGCGGAGACTGTCTGCACAGCAGACTGTTGCAACTGCAGGGCTGCAGTGTGACAAATCATCAGCAGCTACAAAAGTGGTGACCAGGGCAATGTGTTACATCACACAGTTCATCACAGCCTTCTATGTATGGGTCTGTGTAGCCAACCACCCAGCTGGGTCCACATGCTTACTGCGTGCCATCACCAACAATGCATGAAATTTGCCCAGGATCATCGAGATTGGACCGTGGATGATTGGAAGAAAGTGGCCTGGTCTGACAAATCAAGATTCCTGGTGTATCACGTCGACAGCCGAGAGCAGATACACAGATTACCAACAGAGGCTATGGCAACGGCGGCTGTGTTATGCTGTGGGTGATGTATCGTGTTTGTCCCAATATCAGTATATTCGATGGAGCTATACGATAAACACACAATGGAGGCCGATATACAGGGTCACAGAGCGCCCTCAAGAGCATAATACAACAATTGCAGGATAACCCAATTCTGGACACTAAATACATAACATTTCCTCCCAACTTAAATAAAAGCAGCCATAGACAACAAAGAAGTATTACCAGCACATCTTAGCACATCTTACTCAAACTTACTCGGTATGAGTCTTTCTTTAACAATATACATTAAGATGCTTGATAACGGTCAGGTGGTCTAATGAGACGGGTAGGATAGCACTTTAAAATCTCTCTTGTTTTTGCCATCTCAGAAGATGCTGTGTCCATGTTACCTGACCCTGAGCTATCAGTTATCACATCCACAAGATCGTTAGTCTTTTCACTGATATTCTCCTGAAGGGAATGTGCTTGGGAATTATCAGAACAAACAGGAACATCTGGTTCAACTGGGGTGTCAGAGGATGGAGTTCCCTGTCTCAACATTTGATCCACATGACGTTTCCAGGATCGAGCAGCACCCACGTTAACGATGTAGGAGACAGGTCCCGTTCTTGATATTACCACTCCAGGTATCCATTTGTTTCCTCCTCAGTAGTCACGAACAAGGACGGAGTCTCCAAAATGAAATTCTCTCAACTTAGAGTGTTCTTGGCATCATAACTGCTGAGCATCCTGGGACTAACTCATGGTTCTGGCAAGACAAGGTTTAGGGAGATCTAGTTGGGTTCTTAATTTGCAATTGAGGAATAACATTGTAGGTGAGTCCTTAGTAGTAGCATGAGGAGTATTTATGTATGTTAACAGGAATTCATCAAGTCTCTGTTGGATAGAAGCTGACCCCCTGGAAGCTTTCAGAGCGTGTTTGAGTGTTTGGACAAAAACGTTCAGCTTGCCCATTACTAGAGAGGTGATAGGGTGCAGAGCGAATGTGTTGCACCTCATTTGTCTTCAGAAAGAATGAGAATTCCTCAGCGCAAAACTGTGGGCCGTTGTCAGTGACAATGATATTAGGGACACCATAACGACTGAAAAGTCCCTGCAAGACTTGAATGGTTTTGCTTGTGGCAGTGCTGTCCATGATGGAGACTTCAGGCCATTTAGAGTGTGCATCAACTTCAATTAAGTACATATGGCCTTCAAAAGGGACCAGCAAAATCCACATGTATCCTTTCCCAAGGATGAGTTGGCGAAATCCATGGGTGAAGTGGTGCTGGACAGGGGGAATTTTGGATACGTTGACACGACTGGCAGTCATGTCCAGACTAAATCATGTCCATCGATACCTGGCCACCAGATGTAGTTACGAGCCAGATGTTTCATCCTTACCACCCCAGGATGGACCTCCCAGTGCCGGAGTTTGGGAGGTACAATAACACGACTTCCCCAAATTAAAGATCCTTGCATGACTGTGAGCTCATGACGATGAGTCATGAAAGGTAGCAAGTCTGTGGGTACATCTTTAGGTTTGGGGAACTGTCCAGATGAAACCATGTCCAGCACAGATGACAAGGTGGGATCCATTAGGGTGTCACGTTTAATTTCAGCATTACTGACAGGCAGGGTGGCTACCTTTCTCTGTGTGTGTCACTGGCAATGGCAGCCGTGAAAGTCCGTCCGTATTAGCATGTTGAGCTGCTTTCTTATACTCAAGGTCATAATCATGGGCGGCTAAAAGCAAAGCCCATTGTTGCATTCTGGCTGCTGCCATGGGTGGAATGCTCCTGTTGGGACTAAGAATAGCAGTTAGCGGTTGATGATCAGTGAGGAGAGTAAACTTCCTTCCGTATAAGTACTGATGGAATTTGCAAATTCCAAAAATTATGCTCAGGACCTCACGTTCAATCTGAGCATAATTTCGTTCTGCTTTACTGAGTGTCCTGGACGCGAAAGCAATTGGCTTTTCCTCACCATCATGGCACAGATGCGATATCACAGCACCAACCCCATATGGGGAAGCATCACAGGCGAGATGAATGGGTAGCTCTGGGTAGCTCATAATGCGTGAGTACAGCTGGTGAGGTAAGGAGATCCTTTGCTTCTTGGAATGAGTTTTCACAGGCCACACTCCAGTACCATTTTTTTTCTTTACAGAGAAGAGAATTAAGTGGATTCAAGACAGATGCCAAATTTGGAATGAAACGGCCAAAGTAGTTAATCATTCTGAGGAAAGAGCGTAATTGACAAAGAGCGTAACTGACTTATGCTGGCTGGTGTGGGCACTTCCATAATTGCTTTAATCTTTTTTGGTGATTTGTGTAGTCCAGCGGCATCGATGTAATGACCCAGATACTCCAGTGAGTCTGAAAAATTCAAATTTTTCATGCTGCAATTTCAGACCATATTTTTCCAGTCTAGTGAGAACTTGGTTTAGTGTCTTGAGGTGTTCCTCATCATCCCGTCCTGTTATGAGTATGTCGTCTATATAGCAGTGAGTGTTTGGAATCCCCAAGAGAACTTGATCCATCATTTTCTGAAATAATGCAGGAGCCGGGGCAATCCCAAGGGGTAAACGGTTATAGCAAAATAGCCCTTTTTGAGTGGATATGGAAAGTGATTTCCTCGACTCCTGTGCTACTGGTATCTGCCAGTAAGCATTTGACAAGTCCAGCTTACTGAATAAATGACCACCAGCCAGAGATGCAAAAAGATCTACTATGTGTGGAAGTGGGTAGTGGTCCACACAAATGACTGGGTTGAGTGTCACTTTAAAATCACCACACAGTCTCACTGAACCATCTTTCTTGATCACTGGTACCACAGGTGTGGCCCACTCACTGTACTGTATTGGTGAAATCACTCCCATTTCTGTTAAAAGTTTCAATTCAGCCTCTACTTTTGGTCGAATAGCGTACGGCTGATAGAATTTTGGAGTATGATCAGGCTTGAGCCTAATTTTAGCTTCAATTCCTTCCATGGTGCCCAGTTATTTCCCAAAAACTTTGGAGTGCCATTTTAACACAGTTTCTATAGAGTCTGCAACTCCATGCTTGACTGTTTTTATGTCTTGCCAATTAAGTATTATAGATCTCAGCCATGCTCTACCAAATAATGGTGGGGTATCACTGTTAACCACATACCGTGGCAATCGTGCAGACTGATTGTTCAATTTTACCGCTACGTTGATGACCCCTACTGGTGCTAGTGCTTCTCCAGTGTATGATTTTAAAATTATGTCGTCGGTTGCAGTGGAATATGCTACAAGTCATTATCATATTTTTCCTTTGAAATTAGCGACACTGCAGCAGCGCCTGTATCCAATTCCATCTCAATCATGTTTCCTTCAATTTCTGGAGTTAATTAAATGTGTGCGAGTTGCTCTCTTTTGGTTACCATATACAGTGACATTTCCTTCTCTGTATCTGTACTCCACTCACCACTTTGTTTTCCTCCAGCATCCAAATGATGCACATGTCTTTTATCATTTTTACTCTGTCTTTTACATGGCTTAAACTTTTTCTCGTGCTTTCTTTCTCTCTCAAAGTTTATTTTATTTCTGCACACGCGTCCGATGTGGCCTTTCTTTCCACACGAATGGCAGGCTTGATCTTTGTACCAGCAGTCCTCATCCGTGTGGTTCGTTTTCCCACATCTCTTGCAATTGCGTTGCTGTTTGGGTGAGGAAACATGCATTGCATTTGCCTTAAGGGAAGTGCTGAGCTGCTGCGCTTCGCGAGCGACGGTCTCCGTGGCCACCGGGATCGCTACAGCTTTGTGAAAAGTAAGTGCCGCCTCTGTGAGAAGTCACTTTTGTATCGCTTCGTTGCGTAATCCACAAACAAATCTATCCCTTAGAGCATCCTCCAAGTGTTTACCGAAATCACGATGTTCAGAGAGTTGTTTTAAAACTCCTACATATTGTGCAAACGTCTCTCCTTCCTCTTGATTGCGTTTGTGGAAATGGAATCATTCTGCTATTATGAGGGGCTTTGGCGAAAAATGTTTTGTTAACGTCATAACAATCTCCTGATACGTCTTTTCTCCTGGTTTAGCAGGTGCAATCAAGTTACGTAGAAGACTGTACGTTTTAGTGCCCATAACACTTAACAACACTGGTACTTGTTTTTCCTCGTCAATATCATTGAACATTGTGAAGTGTTCAAACCGTTCAATATATGTTGTCCACTGGTCGATAGTCTCATCAAAAGCATCAACATGCCCGATAGTCGCCATTCTGTTCGTGGATTATCTTGATTTGACCCCCTGCTTGCTGTCAGCGTTTTCAGCAACAATGTGCACTCATTTTCGTCAGAAAAGTATGTTGGTTTATATCAATCTGTACCAGTATAATATTAAAATCAATATTTCCACTCCTCATCGCCAATTTTGTCGCGTTTGTCCCAATATCAGTATATTCGATGGAGCTATACAATAAACACACAATGGAGGCCGAGTGCATTTAATAACTTGAACTTCTTTTACTAGCAATTGTTCACAGTATATACTGTACAGGGTCACATGCCCTCAAGAGCATAATACAGCAATTGCAGGATAACCCAATTCCGGACACTAAATACATAACATGATGTTTTCTTGGGACACTTTAGGCCCCATTATCCCAATTGCTGATAATGGAATGACCTAATGAAAGCTGTCAGGTATCTGAACATCATTGCGGACCAAGTGCACCCATTTATGGCATCTGTGGTCCTGGCCGTTAAGGGGCATTACCTACAGGATAATGCGCCATGCCAGAATCTGCACTGCCAGAATCATCAAGGAGTGGTTTGAGGGAGATGATGGTGAATTTCTGTTAATGCCTTGGCCTCAAAATTCACCTGACATGAACCCAATCAAAAACGGGTTTACACTACAGTACATCACCACAACCCCGCAATGTATTTGTTACGGAGTAATCAGAACATGAGACGTGCGGATCCATGTGCAAGGCTTTATTACAAAGGTGTGGTCGAAAAAATGGGCAAGGGTCAGATAACAGCACAGGTACATCACAGGCAAGGCAAAGAGTATTCCCAGGGCAGGCGAGGGTCTTCGATCGGCGAACGTAATCCAGAGGGCAAGGCAAACGAGTAATCCACAAACAGGCGATAGTCCAGTAAAGGGGCAAACAGAGTCCAAACAACAAGGCGAGAGAAATCCAAGGCAGGCAGATAATCAGGCAACACAACGAGACTAGACTAGACTAGAATTAGGAACTAATAAAAGACTTGGAAAAGGGCTCCGTTACATTGCTATCACTAACGTAGCGATATGAGCAAACAATACTCGGCGATGAGAAGGATCTGAGTGGGTGTTTTATAGTGTGTGTCATTGGTTGCAGGTGAGAGAGTGTAATCAGTTAAGAGGAGCATGGGAAATGTAGTCCGTGGTGACGTGTAACAGTCTGTGTAGTGAGAGAGTCAACATAATGGACGAGCGACCTCTGATGGCAATCGGACTGAAGTCCACGGACCAGATTCGTACTGGAACTGAACGGCCTGCTTGTGGTTCATCTGTGTATATAACTATAAAATCGGCTCACCAAAAAAATCTATTCAGCAAAATGTCACATCTAAATGCCTGTTCACACCAGCACAAATTTTTCAGCCTGAAAATTTGGTCTGATTTCTACATGCAATTTGTATTTTCAGACCAATATGAAAAAAAATGCAAATCAAAGATGCTAATTCAGTAGGTGGTGCTTATGGAAAATCAGAAATACAGTGGTACACAAACAGAAACTTTCTGTTTCTGGCAACCTCTAACACTATTCACTTGCTCTTAACAAGATAGTCTGTTTGTGTGTGCAGGATGTAGTTTTATGTTATAGCAGTGATGCCAGGCACATGACCAAAAGCACAAATCTTATAGGTTGTCTTTTTTATCTATTTTTTTTTTCTTTTTTTTTTTGTTTGTTTTTTTTGCAACATGATGGAAAATAGATTAGAATGTGGGTTTGCAGCACATTATTTGTGCTGTCTTTTTTACATGTTCTATTATGAAATAGCCAGTTTTATAAAGACCTTTATATAATTTTTAAAGCATGACTTGGATAATTGTTTTTTAGAAATTAGAACAGCTCTAAAAACAAAAGAAATCTGTCACAGATTTCTGTCACGGCATAAGAATGTGTGTGGTGGTTCGATCAGACACATTAACAATGATTTATTCAAATTAAATTATTTATCGCAAATAATTTTTACACAACATTTACCTTGGTGTGAACAGACTATACAAATTCATAATTGAAAAAATATTTTTTTTTTTGTCATTTTTCAAGCTCTATAGAAATCAGAATTTAATTTATAATGGTGTACAACCCTGTTAGGAAGTGGCATGGAAAAAAGTGCATTAAATGCATTAAAAGTGCATTATGCTGTTATAAACATGAATACAATGAAATTCATGAAAAGAAGTTCACAACATTAATGTAAAATTTAACTTAGATATACAATATAATATTAGGGTTGCGAAACTTAATGTATGATTAATTGCATATGTATAACACCTGCTTATTAGTTCATTATTAAGAAAGAGCCTTACTAATTATGTATTTATTTATTTTATTTAGTTCTCTTGGGACTGAATGCATTAATGCATTAACTAAAAACAAAATGTGTGTTATTACAGTTTAACATTTTGATTGACAACTCATTTTTATTTTTTGACAAGCAATTCTATGCATACAAGAGAAAAAGTTGTGTGTACTATACCTTCCATATGAAATCAGGCTCATAACACAAAGCTGGTGATGTTCTCTGAAACACATGACATGACATATATATCAGCACACTTTAATTGTATAAGAATGCATACAAAATACATCAAATTACATCCACAGGGATAACCATAAAAAGATGCTGCTTACCCACACACAAATACAGCACAAACTTCACCATTTGCAATAAGAGCAGTGTGTTAGAAAGCAGTTTAGCTGCAGAATGTATTCTGCAGAATGCAGAATTAGCTGCTTATGTAATAAAAACCTGGAAGTAGAAAACAAGTAGTTTTGGCAGCTTGGTTTTAATTAAAGGTGTTTATTGGACTAACAAGGAAGTTTTGTGTTCTGAAACTTACAGTAGGTTATATATACTGTATATATATATATATATATATATATATATATAGCACAAGGGGAAAAATGGCTGATTTAAAATGGCTGATTCTCTGTCAGTGCCTTGAATACTGAACAAGGGAGCAGACTGGGATACACCTACAGTCTGGATACATCATGCAGCAGGTAAAGTTAAATAGCACAGAGTTGTGGCGGCATACACTTAAAGATGTGACAGAATTCACATACAGTGCTTGTTATGTTTAAGAAAGTTTTGTTGCCTGTGGTGGAGTGTTTTCCCCTTTAAGAGTTTTACGTTTGACTAATTCAGTAAAGCGATAGCCAGTTCACGGCTTTTCATCCAATCCCCTGGAAAGGGATTTCCAGGTTCAAATATTGTCCCAAGTTCTTTGTCATTATTGGCAAGTTTGTTCATTATTTCATTTTTGTGTGCGTGTGTGTGTGTGTTAGCATTTTGGGTGTAAAGAGATTAATAGCTAAAATATAATCTAGTTCATCTAAGTGATTATAGAATTTCAATTAATGACAAGTTTGATGTCGATGATTACCGTGTTTTGCAAATGGATTCATCTGAGGAATTCTCTCTCTCAACCCTATTTAGGAGTGTCTTGGGGTTATCCTGATGGGAAACAGTGGCAGGTTTTCTGTCTTCCCCATCACAGCATTTTTGGCTCCCCCCTAGTGGTCACTACTAGACTATGCAGACAACTGACATTCCTTTACTGAATCCATTACTATTTTCTTGTGAGCTTTCTGTTGGATTAAATTTTGTTGTGTAGATCAGCATGTTCTTTACAAATTAAAGAAACACTTTTAAGATATATTGTGTACAAAGAAATGTAAACCAAAAGCATTACAATCACTGGTTAAAATCATGAATAGCAAATGTGACCTTTGAGAGTCAATAAAAAAAAAAAACACACACAAGCAAACAAACAAAACAGCTAGACCTTGTTCTTTGTGCTATCTGGGTATTTTGCATGTTGTAAACAAAATGGCAATATATATACATTATACCCTTGCACGATCTGACATAAGTTTACGTGTTTGCAGAATCAGCGTTAAAGATCTCACCTTCACACTGATGACGGTGTTAAGGACTTTAGTCTGGGTGGCATCTGTTAGCTGGTTTCTCCTGTGTAACTCCTGTGGAGGAACTCGATAGAAACAGGGATGTCGACTCGTCATTCTCGCATGCCAGTGCAGCACCTCTCTGTCTTTCTATCGCTTTTTTAGACTGACCTGAATATGACGTCCTCTTGTGCTCATTTTAACCAACTGCTCTTTCTGTAACTGTATTTGATTCCTTTTTGTGATGTTTTGACAGCTAAGCTACATGTACATGATTGTAGTTCCTTTCTCTCTGCCTGAGTTTTCTTCTATACATGTCATTGCTGAACAGTTGTGCTACAGGTATCTGTCTCTATCTATTATTAATTTCATTTTTGTTTTTAACTGTATGGCTTCCTTCGTCTAAAATGTGATCTCTCTCTCATAACACAGCAGGCTGGTAAACACGCCTTCAGGCAGCCATTATCAATAATTCATGTGAGGTGTTTTCCCCACAGCAAGAAGATCTGTCAGCAAACCCTTACCTTCAGACCTGTATTCTTTGCATTGGTCTGTGAGACATTACAGAATAGCATAAAAGAAACAATGAGTAAGATTGATTTTGCAGCCAAAATGTCAACAGGATTGACCTCAATAGGCTTTGCACCACTTCTATTTGCACATAGTCATTTCTCCTCTCAGTACCATACTCTATCAAGTTATTCAACATATAAATCAGCTATGATATGAAGAAAATGTCTCCAGGTTACACATGTAACCATGGTTCCCCGAAGGGAACAAGACGCTGCGTCGAAACGCTAAGGAAACGCCTTCAGCGTGACCACGCTCTGAATCACATGTGTAATCAGTCAAATAGATGGGCCAGACATCACGGGCGGGTGACGTAATGACCAGGAAGCTATAAAAGCACGTGTGGTGGAACCGGCGTCAGCTTCTAGGAATGAAGCAAGTGCTTGCAGGGATGCCGGAAGTATGGCACTGAGACGCAGCATCTCGTTCCCTTTGGGGAACTATGGTTACATGCGTATCCTGGAGACGTTCCCCTTCAGGAACTTGAGCTGCGTCGAAACGCTAAGGGAACGAGTATGCCCATGACCCAGACTTACCCAGACTTACAAATCCCTGCCCAGTTGTGGAAGCTAGGGTGAGAGAACAGAAGAGCCCAGTGTAGCTCGCATATCTAGGCCATAGTACCTGATGAACGTGAGGGGTGTGGACCAACCCGCAGCGTTGCAGATGTCCTGCCTAGGCACACCTGCTAAAAAGGCCTTGGAGGCCACCACAATTCTAGTGGAGTGAGCCTTGACCCCCAATGGCGAGGGGAGATCAGAGGACTCATAAGCAATGGAGATGGCATCAACTATCCACCAGCTGAGGGTCTGCTTTGTAGCAGGAAGACCCCTCTTAGGGGGACCGTAGCAAACAAGCAATTGGTCCGCCCTTCTCCACAGGGCAGCTCTGTGGACGTACAGTGGGTACGGAAAGTATTCAGACCCCCTTAAATTTTTCACTCTTTGTTATATTGCAGCCATTTGCTAAAATCATTTAAGTTAATTTTTTTTCCTCATTAATGTACACACAGCACCCCATATTGATGGCTGCAATATAACAAAGAGTGAAAAATTTAAGGGGGTCTGAATACTTTCCGTACCCACTGTATGTGTCCAGTGCTCGCACAGGACACATACAATTAAGCTTCTGCTGGTCGGGCTCCTGGAAGGGAGGAGGACAGAAGGCCTGGAGCACGATAGGCCGTGGTGCAGAAGAGGGGACTTTAGGAACATAACCCGCTCGAGGGTAGAGAAAGGCTTTGGCCAGACCGGGCGCAAAGTCGAGATAAGAAGGGGCCACTGAGAGGGCCTGCAGATCCCCCAACTCTCTTTAGAGAAGATATCGCCAGAAGGAAGGCAGTCTTAATAGTGAGACAGCGATCAGAAATCTCTTCAATAGGCTCGAAGGGAGGCTTACAAAGAGCTTCTAGCACCGCAGCCAGGTCCCATGGAGGGACATGGGATCATACCGCAGGACGATCAGCGAACCGCGGAGGAAACGTGCAACTAGGGGATGTCTGCCCACTGACTGTCCACCAATAGGGTCGGGTAGGCCGCAATGGCCGCCATGTAGATTTTTAGTGTGGAGTGGGTCAACCCTGCAGACAAACAGACCTGCAGGAACTCCAGGACTGTACCAACTGGGCAGTTAGCTGGGTCGAGCTGGCGGTCTCCGCACCAAGAAGTGAAAAGTTTCCACTTCAAGGCATACAGTTTCCTCGTTGAGGGAGCTCTGGATTGGAGGATGGTCTCATCAACCTCAGTTGAGAGACCGGAAGCTACGAGTTGTGCCCCCTCAGGGGCCACACCCATAACTTCCGGCATGGGGGTGGAATATTGTGCCCTCTGCCTGTGAGAGGAGGTCCCTTCTGACGGGAATCTCCAATGGAAAGCCATCGAGAAGAGAAATCAGGTCCAAGAACCATACTCGGCCCCGCCAGAATGGGGCTACTAACAGCAGCCGGACTCCGTCCCGGAGCACTCTCTCCAGAACTCCCGGGAGCAGAGCGATCGGGGGAAAAGTGTACAGACGAAGCCTCGGCCAAGTCTGCATCATAGCGTCCAGTCCGAGAGGAGCTGGATGAGTCAGAGAGAACCAGAGGGGACAGTGCGATGTCATCTGAGTTGCAAACAAGTCCACCTGAGCCTGGCCAAAAATTCTCCATATCTGCTTCACCACCTCGGGGTGAAGCCTCCATTCCCAGAGCCTCGGCCCCTGCCTCGACAGGATGTCTGCTCCCATATTGAGATGCCCAGGGATGTAAACAGCTCTTAGAGAAACGAGCTTCCCTTGGGCCCACACAAGGATCTGGTGCGCCAGCTTGTACAAGGGGCGCGAACGCAGACCTTGGTGGTTGATATAAGAGACCACCGCTGTGTTGTCGGTGCGCACCAACACATGACGATCTCTTAGGTCTAGGAGAAAGTGTTTCAGTGCTCGAAACACGGCCAGCATCTCCAGGCAGTTGATGTGCCAAGTGAGATGGCGACTGTCAACAATTCTGTGTTTTTCTGTCAATATGGGGTGCTGTGTGTACATTAATGAGGAAAAAAAATTAACTTAAATGATTTTAGCAAATGGCTGCAATATAACAAAGAGTGAAAAATTTAAGGGGGTCTGAATACTTTGCGTACCCACTGTATGTGTCCAGTGCTCGCACAGGACACATACAATTAAGCTTCTGCTGGTCGGGCTCCTGGAAGGGAGGAGGACAGAAGGCCTGGAGCACGATAGGCCGTGGTGCAGAAGAGGGGACTTTAGGAACATAACCCGCTCGAGGGTAGAGAAAGGCTTTGGCCAGACCGGGCGCAAAGTCGAGATAAGAAGGGGCCACTGAGAGGGCCTGCAGATCCCCCAACTCTCTTTAGAGAAGATATCGCCAGAAGGAAGGCAGTCTTAATAGTGAGACAGCGATCAGAAATCTCTTCAATAGGCTCGAAGGGAGGCTTACAAAGAGCTTCTAGCACCGCAGCCAGGTCCCATGGAGGGATCATAGATCATACCGCAGGACGATCAGCGAACCGCGGAGGAAACGTGCAACTAGGGGATGTCTGCCTGTCCACCATCCACCAATAGGGTCGGGTAGGCCGCAATGGCCGCCATGTAGATTTTTAGTGTGGAGTGGGTCAACCCTGCAGACAAACAGACCTGCAGGAACTCCTACCAACTACCAACTGGGCAGTTAGCTGGGTCGAGCTGGCGGTCTCCGCACCAAGAAGTGAAAAGTTTAAGGCATACAAGCTCTGGATTGGAGGATGGTCTCATCAACCTCAGTTGAGAGACCGGAAGCTACGAGTTGTGCCCCCTCAGGGGCCACACCCATAACTTCCGGCATGGGGGTGGAATATTGTGCCCTCTGCCTGTGAGAGGAGGTCCCTTCTGACGGGAATCTCCAATGGAAAGCCATCGAGAAGAGAAATCAGGTCCAAGAACCATACTCGGCCCCGCCAGAATGGGGCTACTAACAGCAGCCGGACTCCGTCCCGGAGCACTCTCTCCAGAACTCCCGGGAGCAGAGCGATCGGGGGAAAAGTGTACAGACGAAGCCTCGGCCAAGTCTGCATCATAGCGTCCAGTCCGAGAGGAGCTGGATGAGTCAGAGAGAACCAGAGGGGACAGTGCGATGTCTCCTGAGTCACAAACAGATCCACCTGAGCCTGGCCAAAAACTCTCCAAATCTGCTTCACCACCTCGGGGTGAAGCCTCCATTCCCTGGGCCTCGGCCCCTGCCTCGACAGGATGTCTGCTCCCATATTGAGATGCCCAGGGATGTAAACAGCTCTTAGAGAAACGAGCTTCCCTTGGGCCCACACAAGGATCTGGTGCGCCAGCTTGTACAAGGGGCGCGAACGCAGACCTTGGTGGTTGATATAAGAGACCACCGCTGTGTTGTCGGTGCGCACCAACACATGACGATCTCTTAGGTCTAGGAGAAAGTGTTTCAGTGCTCGAAACACGGCCAGCATCTCCAGGCAGTTGATGTGCCAAGTGAGATGGCGACCGCTCCACATACCACGGGCAGGGTGGCCACTCATGACCGCACCCCAACCGGTGAGGGATGCATCCGTCGCTAGCGTCACGCAGCGACAAGGAGCTCCAGCACTGAGACCT